GTACGTGGGGAACTCGACGTGTTATCTACGTTGTGACGTTAAGACGTTGAACAAGTATTGCGGTTATGTGCTTCTTGGGTTTGCTTCTTTATCGTTAGACATTTTTCTTCATCTTCTACGTCGTCATCGTGGTTTTTACTGTATTCTCGTACGTTGTGTGTGTGTGTGATTCTTCCCTACGTCATACAGAAGTGCCTCTCTAAGCTGTACCTCACTCATCTCTCCCCCTCGTGGTCCCTCACTTCTCCACCCCCGTCCCCTGTACCTCCCCCATCTCTCCCCCTCATGACGCCTCCACCACCTCATCAGACACCTCTCTCACAAGACGACTCACAAAACAACGTGACCTACAGCGAGGCGGCGGCGGCAGCGGCTGTCACCTATTGTGAACCACTTCCAGGAATTATGGGATGTCGTAAATGAGACTTGAGAAGAAGGACAATGAGCTCCGCGTACGGTGGAGCTCACGCCGGCCCTTTCCCCCCCGCCCCCCTCTCACTCGTTGCGTCAACAGGTGTGTGTAGGGACTCTCTCTACCCACAAGTTGCGTCAACAGGTGTGTCGAGGGGTCCCTCTACCCACAAGTTGCGTCAACTGGTGTGTGTAGGGGCTCTCTCTACCCACAAGTTGCGTCAACAGGTGTGTCGAGGGGTCCCTCTACTCACAAGTTGCGTCAACAGGTGTGTCAAGGGTCCCTCTACCACAAGTTGCGTCAACAGGTGTGTCCAGGACTCATTGTATCAACAGGTACGACAGGGAGCTGTCTCCATCACTCCATGCGTCAGCAGGTGTGGCACACTGCAACACAAGCTGCGTCGACAGGTGTGTGCGTGTGTGTGTGTATGTGTGTGTGTGTGGGGCTCACGCAGCCGAGCTCTTTACTTGGGCTCTTCGTCGTCTATACAAGGAACAGCAAACCCTCCTTGATGGGGTTCTGGGAGTTCCCCTTTCCCCCTTCCCCCCCCCCTCCCACCTCAGCAGTCTAAGGCGTGTTAGTCAACATTTTTTTTTGTCACTGCTCATTGTGTGAAGGCGCCGTCCTTGACTTGTGTAAAATCCTGATGCTCTTTTACGACGCTCTTTTTTTTTCACAATAGCCTCGTAGGTTCGATCTTGTGGTGTCAGGCTCTTGTTGCTTTGACCATGAACATACTTTTTTGTTTTTTTTGGTTTGGGGGCGGCCGGGGGGAGGGGGGGGGAAGAGGAAGGGAGGGGGGAGGGGGGAAGAGAAAGGAGGGAAAGGGAAGAGGGGGGGAGAGAGAGAGAAAGGGGAAACGAGGAAAGGGAAGGGGGTAAGGGAGGGGTGGGAGTGTTGGTAATCTGTTAGTACTCGTCATCTTAACTAATGGATGGAGTTTTGGTAATCAACGTTACAAATGCAACCTATTATGAACCGTAATGGCTAATATATATATATATATATATATATATATATATATATATATATATATATATATATATATATATATATATATATATATATATATGTCGTACCTAGTAGCCAGAACTCACTTCTCAGCCTACTATTCAAGGCCCGATTTGCCTAATAAGCCAAGTTTTCCTGAATTAATATATTTACTATAATTTTTTTCTTATGAAATGATAAAGCAACCCTTTTCTCTATGTATGAGGTCAATTTTTTTTTATTGGAGTTAAAATTAACGTAGATATATGACCGAACCTAACCAACCCTACCTAACCTAACCTAACCTATATTTATAGGTAAGGTTAGGTTAGGTAGCCAAAAAAAGCTAGGTTAGGTTAGGTTAGGTAGGTTAGGTAGACGAAAAAAAACATTAATTCATGAAAACTTGGCATATTAGGCAAATCGGGCCTTGAATAGTAGGCTGAGAAGTGCGTTCTGGCTATTAGGTACGACATATATATATATACAGAAATTAGTAAGCCTTGGGTGTGGCCACCAGTAACACAGGTGTGGCCGTGGACGCACTCAGACATATACCACAGCGGGTCTGAGTTCGAGTCTCACGATGGGTAGGGGGGAGGGGGGTTGCAGGAGGATGTCTGGGTGTTCAGTTGATTCCGATGTGGAGTCTTGATGTTCTCGATAATCCCGGTGGTTGTGTGATGGGCCTGTGGAGGAGGTGGGCGAGTGGGTCATGGCGTGTATCAGGGTGGGCGTGGATGTCCCGGTGGGCGTGGGTGGGCGTGGATGTCCCGGTGGGCGTGGGTGTCGTCTTGGTATGGTAGTATGTCTGGGAGCCTCGCTGGTTCTCGAAGTTCACCTCGAAGGTTCTGGTTCACCTCGAAGTTCGCTTCGCGGTGGCCGGCGAAGCGAACTTCGGATCTCCAGGCTGTCGTTGTGAGCTAGGGTCTGTAAACCTTCTTATCTTGAGGTTATCTTGAGATGATTTCGGGGCTTTAGTGTCCCCGCGGCCCGGTCCTCGACCAGGCCTCCACCCCCAGGAAGCAGCCCGTGACAGCTGACTTAACTCCCAGGTACCTATTTACTGCTAGGTAACAGGGGCATTCAGGGTGAAAGAAACTTTGCCCATTGTTTCTGCCTCGTGCGGGAATCGAACCCGCGCCACAGAATTACGAGTCCTGCGCGCTATCCACCAGGCTACGAGGCCCCCTTAGCTAGGTCTCGCGTTTGGTCTTATAATTTACGGCGAGACGAGACAATGGTTCAGAAAGGCTTTCCTTGGAGGAGTTTAGGTTAGCGATTCAAGCCACACAGACGGACCGGCTTCACTTTGCCCGAAACGCATTGCGTAATAGTGGCTTTAGGCATTGTATGTATTAGCTCTATCTATATATCAATCCATTAATGTAACATCACTTGTATGTATATACCTTACCTGAATAAACATCTGAATCTGAATCTGAAAACATGTTCCCTGGAATGGCTAATCAGTGTTTATTCCATGTAGGTTATCCAGGCCCTCGCGATCCCATCACACACACACACGGGGGAGGACACACACACACGGGGGAGGAGGGGGTGGTTCGTAGGCTCCTTTCACTTTTAGCACCAGCTGGAGGACAGAAGGGAGGGCTAGAGTGGTTAGAGAGGAAGGGAAAGGCGAAGGAAAAGGACGGGTGTTGTGTACTAAGGGAAGCCAGCACAAAAGATTCTGCGGTGTTTGGATGGCCAAGAGCGGATGTGTGTTTGAGTGTATAGGAGCGGAGGAAGTTGACTTCCCCCACACCACACTGTGAGACCCGCCACCACATCACGCAGTCACGTACGGGCGACTGTCTGATGTGTTGCAGCACAAGGCTCTTGTGGCAGCCCTCTGCTGCAACAAGACTGTCCTTCCACGGCTATCAACCTCAAGGTATCAAGTAGGTATCTAGGCGGATACCTTGAGGATATCTAGCTAGCTATCAGCAGGGTATCTAGCTAGCTATCAGCAGGGTATCTAGCTAGCTATTAGCAAGGTATCTAGCTAGCTATTAGCAAGGTATCTATCTAGCTATCAGCAAGGTATCTATCTAGCTATCAGCAGGGTATCTATCTAGCTATCAGCAAGGTATCTATCTAGCTATCAGCAAGGTATCTAGCTATCAGCAAGGTATCTATCTAGCTATCAGCAAGGTATCTAGCTAGCTATCAGCAGGGTATCTAGCTAGCTATTAGCAAGGTATCTAGCTAGCTATTAGCAAGGTATCTATCTAGCTATCAGCAGGGTATCTAGCTAGCTATCAGCAAGATATCAACCAGGTATAATCTGAATAGTGTCTTAAAAATTTTCGATCTCATTCACTGCTCACTAGTTAAGCTTTTAAGAATCATTTAATGTTATATGTCTATGAGTATTGATATTTTATTCCTAAATTTTCCTCTTTTTCTTGATTTTATTAAAACCAAGCTTCCGGTTGAAATTGGGCGATCGTGATCTTTGCAATAAAGTAGTAGGCAGTACAGCAGTAAAAGTTTGCAAGCGGTACACGACTTGTAACATTCACATGCATCATGTGACCTGCTAGATATTCTCGGGTGATGGAGTTGGACCAGATATTATTCGTTAGTAAATGTTCTAGAGTTTTGGCTAATGTATTATTTTGTATAAATCTCGAAAACAGCTTAAGAAAATATCTTTAAATGTGGTGTGTGTGTTTGTGTGTGTGTGTGTGTGTGTGTGTGTGTGTGTGTGTGTGTGTGTGTACTCACCTATTTGTGCTTGCAGGATCGAGCATTGGCTCTTGGATCCCGCCTTTCCAGCCATCGGTTGTGTGCAGCAATGATTCATGTCCCATTTCCCTATCATACCTAATTTTAAAAGTATGAATAGAGTTTGCTTCCACAACCTGTTCCCCAAGTGCGTGTGTGTGTGTGTGTGTGTGTGTGTGTGTGTGTGTGTGTGTGTGTGTGTGTGTGTGTGTGTGTGTGTGTGTGTGCGTGATCTTGGAATCACTCATAGCGGTAGATTTCAGAATTAGTTTCATATTTAATGTGAAAAAAACTGTATATCGTCTGATCGCTATTTTAAAAGATTGTCTTTCGGAATTACAAAACAATTGTTATACAGTTTATTTTAGTGTAGTGATGGTGATGATATATTGGTGTACCAGTCTCAGGCACACGAAACCTCTTACTCCTTCTTTGTTGTCACCCATCCAGTCTCCGTTCAGACCAAACTGTGCTTAACCTCACTGACCGAGTGACCCGGATCATATTGACTTAAAAACTTGTTGGTATTCGCCTTAGAGGAACTTCACGTCATTTATATATTATATATATTTTTTTCAAATGATTTAAAATCTAAGTTTAAGATTTAAGTTTAAAATCTAATTATATTTGATATTTGTTCATTGTAATTTTATGATATAATCTGTTATTTATATCTCTATTGCTATATAGTCTTCTAGGCTTGATACCTTTATGTGGTAATTACTTTGATATCTCTACACTAAGGTGGAATAAACTATCTTCAAGAGTTAACATAAAGCTTCAGGAGACAGTATACACGGATCTCTTGAGAGCTGGCTCTTATAAACCACTCTTTGTGCCAGTTTAAAAAAGCTATAGTATT